ATGTTATGTTTAGATTTTTGTCTTAGATTATACTTGAAAACAAGTGAAAAAAGAACATAATAAATGTTATGTTGTCTCTTTTTATAGATTGCAACGATTACTCTTGGGCTCAAATTGTTAAACACGGCGAGAGTTATTCATATTAAAATTCACTGATGCGTGCAATACAAATATGCTTTCAAAAAGTTATACTTAAGTTTTTATTAAAACAATGTTAGGGCAGTAATATTCGGAAATAGTCAAGACGAAGGAATAGTATGCGCTTATAAGCGCAACATGAAATAGATAATGTAAATCAAAGAGTGATGGAATAAATGCCACCTGAATAGAGTCACAGACTATGGAAAGCACTAACTGTAAACCTGGTAATGATCACATGTAAAATAGAATAGTCCAAAAACAAGTAGACTCAATGTTGTATCTCAGACTGCGTTCAGCAACGTAATAAGAGACGGTGCTTTGTGCTATAACTCACGTGTATTCACGTAATGCCCCAATCAGGATTATAAACTGCTCAAGCCCTTGAATCCGGCACTCTAACTGCCATATACGTTACGACATTTAATGTGACAGAATTCCTAGTATTTTGTTTGCTTAATTTTCTATTTTTGATTGTAATAAGACCATGTTACGGCCAGCGGGCTACTACTTCTTATAACTGTAATATTTACACAGTCATGCAGAAAATGTTGTTTTGAAGTGTATTAGAAAAGCAGAATTTGACCTTTAGAATCAATCAACCAGAATAACATAATATTTTTCAAGAAAAATATTTTTCTTATCTTCCATACATATTTTAAGAACCTTTTAGAGATACGGTAAATAAACCGTATAATTCCATCCCAGCAAGTTTAATACCTCTTTTATAATGCTGATAAACCCTATTTTCAAAGGTCGTTTAGATGTCCCTAGCGATTAAATAATTAGCGTGTTTGGAGAGTCTGTCAAATTGTAGGATATTGTTGCCGTCCGAATTTAGCTTTTATTAACTTGTTTGTCTTTTAGATGAGTTTCAGCCACCGGAGCAGGCCGGGTTTCGACGGGGATACAGCACCATAGACCACATACACACAGTGAGGTGAGATTATACAGAAGTCAGAAGAGTATAATCGATCTTGTGTCTACCCTTTGTGGACTATGAGAAGGCTTTTGGTTCCGTCGAAACCTGGGCTGTCTTGGAATACTTGCAGCGTCGAAGTGTGGAGATGTCTATATAACGCCGCCACTATAAGTGTCCAAGTACAGGACCAGCAGTCTAAACCCATCCCATTACGCAAAGGAGTGAGACAGGGGGATGCCACATCCCCGAAACTGTTCACAGCCGCATTGGAGGATATATTTAACACGCTGGACTGGAAAAGTATGGGCATTAACATCAAAACCGAGTACATCTCACACTTGCGATTTGCAGATGACATAGTCCTAATGGCGGAGTCGCTGGAGGAACTACAGCAGATGCTGGACGGCCTAACGTCCGCCTTGCGACGTATTGGTCTCGACATGAACTTGGACAAGACCAAAGTCATGATCAATGATCACATTGACCCGAGACCCATAGTCGTAAATGGCCACCTTCTGAAGCTGTTTCCGAATACACTTACCCCGGGTAGATTCTGCAGTTAGGTAGAAACAATTTCGAAAAGGAAGCCAGGTGGAGGATTCAGCTTAGATGGGCAGCGTTTGCGAAGCTATGTCGAGTCTTCTCATCACCTATACCACAAAGTATGAAAGTAAGAAAGTATGAAAACAAAGGTTTTCAACCTTTGTTTTCAGTTTTTGTGGTAATGTGTGCCAGTGCGTCCTGCCTGTTATGATTTACGGAGCCGAGACGTGGACCCTCACGATACGGCTAGTCCACCAATTTAAAGTCGCTCAGCGAGCTATGGAACGGGCTATGCTCGAAGTTTCTCTGAAGGATAAAATTCGTAATTCGGAGAACTAAGGTCACCGACATAGCTCGTGCAATAAGCAAGCTGAAGTGGCAGTGTTTGGCCATATCTGTCGAAGAACCGATAACCAATGGGGAAAACGAGTTCTAGAGTGGAGACCGCGACTCGGCAAACGAAGTGTAAGACGCCCTCCGGCGAAGTGGAGTGACGACCTGCGAAATGTTGGTAGCGGGAAATGGAAGCGACAAGCTGGGACCGGGCGAAATGACGCACATTGGGGGAAGCCTATATCCAGCAGTGGACTGCGACAGGCTGATGATGATGATGATCATCTTTTAGCCTTTGCTATGATCGCAAAATTGCAAATCTTCTTCATTTTCGCTCCAAATATAGTTTGGTAATAGTGTAGATGTTAAGTATCACCCATTTTGTTATTCTTATCAAATAATATAGTCAAAATATTATCTTTATGAATGACAGCATCTAATACAGTTTTTTTTTTTTAGCAACTAATAATAAATAATTAGATTAACAACTAAGATTATTTCACCTTTTTCTTGTTGATGTATTGCAAAATAACACAGAAACGTTGAAACATTATATTTATTTGCAGATCCTCACCAACCGTTTGATGGTAAGTCATACATTAACAAGAGTCCATCAGGTGAGATTGTGATCGAGCAGTAATTAGTTTCCGTCTTTTTATATCATATTAAAATATAATTTACTTCTTGTATCTTTTTGTTATTTACAATTTAATATTTTATTTAAGGTTTTACCAAAAGCATTTGAATAAGTGTCACAAGAAAATAGTTTACTTGATATTTATTTGTATATAGTATCTATTTAAGACAGTAAAAAGCAAAATACACTTGTAATTAGAATGTACAATGTTGCGAGTTTATCGCCTTTAGTTTAGAGTTTCCTGTTATTGTATGTAAGTGTCGCTCAAGGACCTATCTTTAGACCAATGTTTTTTCTATTTACAAATATTCAATTTCAATGACACCGGTGTAGATTTCATGAACATTAATAATGTTTATTGTGAAATGTAATCAAAGCGTTTACATGAAAGATTGATATATCCATTTTAACATCAACATGGGCATCAATCAATTAATTACATCGCGCGAGGCGCTGTAGAGCCGCTATCGATAATCTCGTTCGACAGTCCTCGAATTTAATTAATGACTGAAAATATTATAGAGATAAATAAATTCAGAACTTTCGCATTTTGTTCATTGAATATTCACTTTAAAATTTAATATCTTCTTAATGTGCCGTTATTAATATCATTTATTTTATTCGAATTTCATTTCTCTTTTGTAATGTTCCCATTCGGTAGTTCCACAGATTATATAATGTATATTAAATAATTCATAATTTTTATTGTATAGATGCGCTAAAATTAGAATTGCTATGTTATTATGATATTTTAGTTGCTACTTTGTGACGTAATTAACATTTGTTAGTGTACATTCAAATTTGTGCTCTATATCTATAATAATAATGCTAATAATATGCCAGATAGCTACACCAATTATCCGACCTCAAGCAGGAAATCCCCCACACTGGGAGCACTACTACCTAGACCAGAAACAATATACAAAACTTCATTTCCAAAATCGGTCTCACTGGCATCTCGTCACCCAATGCCCTTAATGAAAACCACTAATAACGGGCTGCCAAGACCGTCAAACAAAGTCTATCTAGATTATTAAATTCGTCACCTTCACCTTCGACGAATATTTTCCTAAACATGAAGTTATTTAAGATGATCTGTCTACCCGTACCCCGCCCCGTCGATTCACAAGGCTTAACTTTCAAACTTATACGAGTACAAGGAACTCGAGTGCCTCTCCCAGTGCATATCCTCTGTGTACATCCTTTGTACGATGGCAAACTTCCAAATGCCTACCCGTCCAAGTTAGAGAGAAGTTACGAACTCGTATCGGAGTTTCTTGTCACAAATGCATGTCGTCACCATATTGATGGGAAATCGATGCAAGGAGACACATTACCTTCATAATGCGATGTGTTTCTTGAAAACAGACATTTACTCTGTTCGACTTCTTTAGCGCGGCCAGTTTTAGCCATTTTTAGGTTAATAAAGCAGCGCACTGGGGAAACCCTGTATCCATAAACCACAAATTACACCCAAACTCACGAGAGAAATAAATGTATGTCATATAAATATTTATCCAAGCCCAGGAATCGAACCCGGGACCTTTGCATGGCAGTCCAGCATGGTAACCGTTGAGTCACAATGGCAGTCAAGAATCGTGCGCCTGATGGTAAGCGACACGCCTGTCCATAATAGTTAAAGTGCCACTCAGAGATTTCAATCAGAAAGATCTCAGGGTCACACTGCGCCCGTTTGCCCTGAGACGTAAGTTCACAATTACCTGCTGCTAATAACTAATAATCGTGGCCGAACGGTTATCACCGGACTACCACGCAGAGGTCCTGGGTTCGATTCCCGAGAAGTATGTGTATGGCCTACATTTATTTCTCTCGCGAGTTTGGGTGTCATTTGTGGTTGTCTATGTGTGTGTACATGGCACCCGAGACACAGGGTTTCCCTAGTGCGAGGCTATGAGTGTGTTGCATTATTATTGTAGTTACTTATTGCTTAGTGGCAGAAATAGTTTAGGTGGCAGAAATAGTTTTACTTGTCTGGACGTACTCCTTCATAAGGAGCTCCGCTGTTACTACTTATTCCTGATTACTTATCAAGAAAAAAATTCTAAAATACATTTCCGTATAATTACGAGTCCAAAACTTTAAATATAAATATAATATTTAGCTTTCTAGTAAATTCAAACAGGTTAAGCGATTTACGAGGTAATTAAATTAATTTATCGGCGTTCACTTGGCCCTGTTCGTGAAATACCTTCAAGCCACGGTAAGTTATGTGACAGGCGTACAAATTGATTCGTTCAATTTGCCATCACTTTTCTGTACCTTGGCATGAAGGAATATGTCAAGAATGTCTTAACACTGGTATGATATCGCTTCAAAAGCCAATCATATTCAATTATTAATACAAAGATGAAAAGAGAGAACTTAGAAAAAAATTATTCTATCCGGCTGGATTTGAACCAACGTATTCCAACAAATCGTACCAGACGCTATGCCAACTAAGCCACGGAATGAACTAGCGCACCTTAAGAATGTTTGCTATGTGTTTGTTGCAGATGTCCGTGAGAAATCTTTTCAACAAAATTAAGTGAAGCCAGTTTAATTTTGAATTATCTAATTTAACTATCTAGAAAAAAGAAACGAAATATGCTCTAAAAATATTTAACATAAAATAAATTCTATGGTCAAATACTTTTTATTTTCACAAGAAAAAGCGAGCCTAGGTAAAGTAAAAAAAAAAAAAACCTTTTTTTATCACCACCAAACATCCTTTGAAAGGGCAACTCAGAATACCTATACCTTCTAGAGATTATGCAAAAATCCGCGACTTTTTCTTCGTTTCTTTCGTTTAGGAGACAAATGGTGTGTCTGTCAGAGCATTAATCATGTGACGTCTATAGGTGAAACGGAGTCACCTCGAACCCGCATATTTCAAGATATTTTCGAATGATTCAGACTTTATTTTACACTATTTTCTGTCTGCGACGTTGTTTTCGTTTAAGACGATGATTCCCAAAGTTTATCAACCCCCAGGGGTTCATTCAAATCAACAAGGGATTCATGCAAAAAAAAAATAGAAGGAGAATGAGACGTCAATGGGGGTCTACGGGAGTGCAGGTCGTGCCCAAAGTTTTGACTTTCCATATACGAAATAATCCACTCGACATACATATTATCTATGTGCAGTCAACAGCACATCACGTACTTAGAAGATCTGTCAATGTACAATTTGATACCCACATGCCTATACATAGTACTTTCTTATAATAGACACATACAAATGTGTAAGAAGTAAATATTTCACGACGAACATGATATTGGGATACAGAAATGCATAAAATTTAACAAATGTTTTTTGTTAAGTGTCTTATTATACAGTTAAACTTGTCAAAGTGAGAAGCACTGTGCCAGCAGTTGAAAACACATTTGAAGTTGATGTAAAAAATCAATATTAGAAAGGTATGAAGTCTACACAAATCAGAAAAAATGGTTAATAGATTCAGGCGTTACTTTGCGGAAATCCATGTTAATAATAATCTCAGTACATAGTACTAAAAGTAAAACCGACCTCAAAAGTACGTTGAATTACGTCTATTTGCTAAGTTTTATTGAAATATCCTTAAATTCGCCACTATACAGGACTTGACACTGTAGATAACAAAAATCGGTTGTCACTACTCAAAGTATATGGAGAGAAAAACGCCTTGGATTGGAGAAATAGCAAAATCAACCATTAAAATAATTGCTCTTTAGTAAAATTTAGGCGCTATTAATAAAAATGAATCTTCATGCGTGAACAGCCACCCTTAGAGGTGGACGATTTTCTTCAAAATGAAATGGGACCACTATGGAAGTGCCCCCTTTCCAACAAAAAAAAAAAAATCATGAAAATCGGTTCACAAATACCGGAGTTATCGCGTAACATACAGTCGAATTGAGAATCTTCTCCTTTTTTTGAAGTCGGTTAATAAAAATGGAAGTAAATTAATTTGCTACTCTGCGAACCCAGTGAAGGTTAAATCGTGCAAAGTGGCTGCGCTTGTGTTGAATATTTTTTCATGCAGATAATTTTCCCACCCTCCCCTACAGTCACTAACACCACCACCAAATATACCTGACACGTGTTTCGCCTCTCCAGGAGGCATCCTCAGGGGCTATTGCTTGCTGGACGCTCGGCCGAAGAATTTCATTCTTCTTTGATTAATTCTTCGGCTAAGAGGCGAGTAGTAAATTTTATTTACTTCCATTTTTAGAAAGAAAAAATGGGTACATGGTACGAGACATAAGTTTGGGAACCTCGCGTCTAAGATTGAAAAGTACTTTGTGATTAATGAGATTATGAACTACTCAACAGTAATCAGCACAATTCTAAACTTTCTCATTTGCAACTTTAACGGAATGAGATTATAAGCGCTTTCTCACCTGTGTCATCCCTTACTGAAACATTTTAGGTACAAATGTGTTTCTATCTACATACGTAGTGATTGCTACGCTTATATTGTAGCAGCAGTAGAGCTCCTTGTGAAAGAGTTCGTCCATGGAAGTACCTTATCCAATGTGAGCATTACTGCGTTTCAATTTTGAAGGGGTAAGGGTTCTGGTGAAATTACAAGCACATGGAACTTGTCAACTTATGTCTCAGGGTGATAGACGCAGTGGCAGCGTCCGTCAGATCTTTGCGAGTTAAATATCTAAAAAATTTTGATAATTATAATGTCTAATGTGTCTTACAACATTCCTGCTACATAACTGCTTTTGTAGCAGGAATAATGTTTCCTTTCTCAGTGCTGGCAATGAAACTTGGTTATGTACAACAAGGGGTCTTTTATGAAGGATTAGGCCTTAACACGCTACACTGAACCAATACAGAATGTATACGCCAAATATACTACACGATTGAACGTAGGAAGTAGTTTATTACATTATAACCGTAAAGAGCTTCGCCGCAAACGTTTAGCCCTCTTCCTGCTAGTGAAGTGTAATAAAAAGGAG